GTGCTGAGAGGACGAGACACTTGGCGACGAGGAGAGAGTGCAGGCTAGAGAGCGTGTCAGAGCAGAGAACACAGACACTTCACGCGCGTTGGGGCGTGGCCTAGCCGCAACCCTTCAAACCAGGTGATTTTTGAAACCCTAGCGCCTTTATGTCGCGCTTTCGAGTTGCGGGTGAGGCAATATATCTTCAAATACAGACCCAACAACCCCACTCATAAAAGAGAACAACTCAGCGCGGAATTTGATTTTGAAAAGTAAACAATGCTTCCTTAAAAGGCCCACTGAAAAGTAAACTCACCGTAGGAAACATCTTCTGGAGATTCAGTGGTAGATTCTGAATAGTTAGCAGAGCTATCCAGAGGTATAGAGTACGAAACAGCATCGTATAAGGGGTGTTTGTCGTCATAATTGGCACATTCATGACCACCAATGTGGTAGAAGAAAAACAGCACAACTAACACGCTAATAATTAGTAACGTGAATTGTAGAATCAAAGAAGCTACCCCTGTGGCTTTAGGCGGAACGAAGCATGTTGAACTGAGATTAGGAAGGGGCGGATTGTCGGTCACCGTGAAATCATGTGGAGTATACATCCGTAGCGGTTGTTTCTGGACTGACGGTAGACGGTCGCTTCTAATTTCATGCGTTTATTTAGGAATTCCGGATAAAGGTAGATCACAGCAGCGGAGTGAAGAAGGTGTAAGCTTCAGTTTGGCACAACACAGGGTACTACTTAGAGTTGAAATGGTGCGTTCGAGACGACGTTTCCACGTGGTTATTGCTGCATTTCTAGCGCCCCGGTTACCCCGGTTACCAAGGTTACCCGTTTGCTTGCTCGTATTCTTACTCTCATTATTCTTTACTCATTTATTCCATGAAATTGAAAGGTCACAATGATTTTTACATCGAACTACTACGGTAACGACGGACTGAGACTCAGGAACAAGGATTTCATTTTTCAATAGAGAATTATATTTCCAGCATCACCCGGGGTCAACTAACGCTGGCCTAGGGTGATTGCTGGAAACTTTGAAAGTGGACCACCTCGACTTTGAAGGGTGTCCCGAACACGACTCGCTCCAAGGACTCGATGGTGTCCATAGTTTCGTTGAAACAGTTGCACCTGCTTCAGCTGACATACTCCGAAGTCACTCCCCCAAAACTTCACGGTGCTCCGGGTGGGCGGGGGAGTATACCATGCAAAGCAGTCAAAACACCTCAATTTTGAAATTTTTCCAAATAATAGTTGTAAAAAAGTCCACCTTTCCAAAAATGTGCCTCCTCCCTAAACAGGAAATTCTCTTCCGTGGTCCCTCAAAATTCGACCTCTATCTCTGCAAGACTCCTTCCTAGAACCACACAATGACCTCTCTCGTTAGGCTCAACGGTCGCTTGACCTTGAGTGCGATATTTTATTTTTGAACTACGTCCCAGTCAGGTCAAAATGCATGGTGACATTGCGGGCAGTACGGAAACGGTAAAAACCTAAAAATCTCAAAGAAATTATGGGCGAAAATCCCCCGCGACGGGTTTAAACCCGAGTCCAAATAAAGGATAAAGTAATAAAGCATTTGCCGTTGATCAATCCCTTTTGGGATGCGGCACGCATTCTACTTCCATTTGTACATTCGCAGTGGCGTTTGAATGCGATGTGGCCTATACAATGACTTGCGGGGGCCAGCCGATGTACAAGTCAGTGTTTTTATCCTCCCAGACAAGTCTGGTACCCAATTTAACCGAAGCTTATTGCCCGGGCCACTACGCACCCAGATTTGATCCTTGAACCGACGCGAAAGCGCAGCTTGCATGTAAAGCGTGCACTTGCCACTACATCTACTTCTTACGCTCTGTAAGATAAAGCATTTATCGAATAGAAAACCAAGCTTCTTGATTTCCTGTTTCTTCTCCTATACCAGTAATTGAGCCGCGGCAAAAACGTTCGACTGTCTGAGTGTCACTGCTTCCGTAATGCTTTCACTATTTCAAGATTATTTAGAATCCTCTGCATGCGTGCCAGCGTCACCTTAACGAAGTGTACATAAAAGGATAAAGCATTTGCCGTTGATCAATCCCTTTTGGGATGCGGCACGCATTCTACTTCCATTTGTACATTCGCAGTGGCATTTGAATGCGATGTGGCCTATACAATGACTTGCGGGGGCCAGCCGATGTTCAAGTCAGTGTTTTTATCCTCCCAGACAAGTCTGGTACCAATTAACCGACCCCGGAGGGATGGAAGGCTTGGTTGGCCCGGGCGACTCACGACCCAGGATTTGATCCCGGACCGCTCGCGTGGTGAGCGCGCCACTTGTCACTGCACCACTTCCGCCCTGCGCTACATATCCCCCTAGAATCATGATGTTTTTGAAACGGCGTTTTGTATTAGGGCTTCGGGAAGCCAGTTCTTGTAAGAGCAGGTGTTTTAATCTTCTCAGGCAGCGGTTTTATCAACCAGTGTGACCAGGTGTAGCTCAATCGTATCATGAGGCCACCCTCGCACCCCTCTCTGGTTTGAGCTCTACTAGCATTGAATTTCACCCGTGCTGAATTATTAATTTCATTGCAGTAGCCACACTTATCGGAGACCTTGTTTATGTACTTTTTGCACTCCCCTGCTAAGCAATAAACCAAAAACGAAATTCAGGGCGGGGCCCAGTGGCCAATATTATGTACAATATTCTCAGCTTGCAGAGTTGGCACAAATCACTGAAACTGTGCGCACTCACAAAAATTCTTCGATTTTGCATATAAACAAGAAACCTTTGCTGTACAAGCCGGGTGTGGAAAGCTACACACCTTCATCGCCCAAGCTTAATTTAAAGCAACAGTCCCAGCAGGGTGGGCGTGGTCGGAAACGACTGCAATCCCCTCGGCCGATTCCGACCACGCCCACTTCAGCTCCCTCCCTAGCGGCTTTCCAAGGTGAGTTTTTGTTCAGTCACACTTCTTACGTTCTTGACTAGGGGCTGAACAGCTCCGAAGTGGGAATCGCCGCTTCCGACTTACTCCCACCATACTGGGACTGTTGCTTAAGGGATTATTTGCGACGAGCGAAGGGATTCCATAGTAAACGAGCCGCTTCATTTCGCGGGCTGGCTAGAAAAAAAATTTTTTTTCATATTAAGGAGATTCGATGCTCGACTGATGTGTCTCTGAAGTGCTAGGATCTGAAACTCACAAGAGCAGCTCAGGAATTTGGAATCTCTATGGGCCGTTCATCTGAGGGTTCGAATCGAAATGAAGACACCGTGGCCTGCGCCAACCAGGCGAGCCTCCCAGCAGCTCATGGCTGCGCATCAAACCAGGTGGAGATGGTGGGAAAGGAGATGCTCGATATGGCTACCTATTGAGAACTGAACTATTGTTCACAGTCAGGATTATGAAAGTGATGACTTACTACTCGAAATGGGGATTCTTTAGCTTCAGTAATTTGTGCCTATCCTCTAGCATTAAAATCTTGTATGCATTATCAGAAGAGTTGTGTAAACATTTCTGACCAAGAGACAAATGCATGGCGCACCTCGAAAAGGCTCCGCGATCCCCTAGAATGAGTCATTCGTCTCGCCTGACAATTACGCTATGCCAATCACATATCAAACAATTTTTTGTCAAACTATGCCACTGAGGCACAAATGCAAAAGACGCCCATAAAAATGTTTATTTTTTATTTTAAATTTATTTGCACACAAAAAATCGATGCGGTTTTTAACGTCTTGTGCCATCCTCGAAGAAGATACCACCGTCTTCGGCACAATACTTCGGACAGATTCCTTTTTCACCGTGCGATCCGGGCATGCCGTTTCTCCCTGGCATTCCTCGCTGACCGTCATCGCCGGGTTGTCCTGGAGGCCCTTCTGGGCCAGGCATGCCCGGCGTTCCCGGTTTTCCGTCCTTGCCAGCTGGTCCAGGAGGGCCTCGAGGACCTTCCATTCCCGGCTTTCCCGGCTCTCCAGGTGGCCCAGGTTTTTCCGGTTCATTGTTACCAGGTTCTCCAGGGCTGCCAACAGGTCCAGTGTTACCGGGCATTCCTATACTACCAGGTCGTCCTTGCAATCCTGGCTCTCCAGGAGTTCCATCGGAACCTTTAGGTCCCTGCTCACCTGGCATTCCAGCGTTACCTGGTGGTCCTGGGGGTCCAGTGGCACCAGGTGGTCCTTGTGGGCAGGGTGGACACGGTGGCGGGGTAATCTGCTCGCATGGTTTCATCGGTGGACGGCCTGGTTTACCCGGGAAGCCAGGTTTGCCGGGTGCACCCGGTTTTCCGGGCTTTCCCGGCGGACCCTGTGGGCCTGGTGCTCCGGGAAGACAGCATTCCTCGCAACCGCTGCTATTGTCACTCGGTTCCATCTCTTGTGTCATTTCAGCAGTGTTCGCCTATAAACAGAGTTCGTAAGCACGAATAATTCCTCTATATGACTCAGCTAACGACGCGAGCGGTCGCGCAGCGGTTGCAGGCCCTAGTCAGCTTGCAGTGTCGCGACCGCACGCGTCCTGGGCAATCAATTTAAAAGATACGTTTGAGTAGAGACTTACTCCCACTTCAATATCGCTTTCTTCCATGTAAGCTTCTCTGGAGACACGTGCTGTTCGATTCGGCATTATGGGTACCTCCTTGAGCGCGTTCACTTCAGCCCACAGGGTTCCGTGCGTTCTTCTGGAGCCAAAAGATTGACTCCATAGAAAGAAAGACCGAAATTAGACTCAAGGTTACCTGGCACAAGTGCATTTCTCCTTCCATCTGACGACGAACACTATGCACATACTTGTAGACGATTGGCAGTGTTATACAAACCGACAATATAGTAAAGGTTGAAAAATGTCACCGCCGCATAGCCGACAAAGCGATAAACCTTAAAACTTACATATTAAAAAAATTGGGAGTGTTTTTTGCAGCAAATAACGAAGAAAACGCCGGCTGTGAGACTGATGGACATGGGGAGCGCGCGGTCGCGTTGCGGCTGTTACGTTCCATTCCCCATGAACTGGTAGAAATCGATTGTTTTTCAAAACTGGTCTTACACCAGGCAATGAAAGCTAACGCGATTTAAGCACTCTGTTAAGGAAAAAATGCAAACTGGTTCTCATTAGGCATAACCTTCATCTCCAAAATTGATCCAGAGGCGATTTCAATCCCAAAGGAACCCACAGGTATGTAATCCTTCCATCCCTGCGTCACGGTCGCGGTGCGTGTTCACATCGAGGGCACTATCCTCTGACAAAATCTTTACAAACAAGTCGAACATTATGAAGTGCAAACCCGAAGTTACATTTGGATCTTGATCAGGCGGCACTAATGCATTAATGCGGCGCGATTGTGAAACCACTATATGTAGCATAAAAGATTCAAGACTGATCCATGAGATGGATTAATGGAACCGATGTGCTTTCATCACTCCGCACAGCCCATCCCACTCCTACCTCGCTCGCTTAACACTACCTTATATACCATTCTTTCAAGTTCGCATGAGTTTATAGTTTTTCAACGCTTGTTTTTTAGCAAACAAACTCAGGATTCGTGCAACTGTACAACTAACAATCTAGAGACGCAGTCGGGAAGTAAGTCGGGCATAGATGAAATCGAGGCGTTCATGTCTTCAGGGGAATTGAAGTGAGTGAGCCACTTACACACGATTCGCTATGTCTTAGGCACGTAGAAGTGACGTCTAGCAGGGATACGTAAGCACGTTGTCTACGCCAGCGTTTATCCACTCTCTTGGATTTCGTCCTCAGGTGCCAACCTACAGTGTGTGTTCAATCTGTTTAATTGCTACACCCCACCTTAAAAGGCATGCCCCAGGATCGCACTGGTGTGGCTCTTGCACACGAATGTGAATGTATCGGTGCCAAGTGGGCCGGCAGTGAAGAAAAAAGGAAAAGAATCCGTCGAAAACGCTCAGGTTGAGGGCTCACTCACCTTCCTAATTGGCTGTGCTAAAGGAACGAGAGACTAAGCGCGAAGAGGAGAGTATGGGGCGAGAGAGCGCATCAGATGAGAGAGCACCAGACAACGGCCTGATAAGAGAGCTCGTTCGCTGCAGCTCGAGCAGCTTACTTTGCAAGCCCAAAGCGTTCTTGTCGGTCGAATTCCGTGCACGTGAACGCCACATTTGTGATTGTCCCCTAGGGTTCTATACTTCTGACCGAAGAGAAGAGTTCACACGACCTCTGCCTGGGTTGTGCCTTTAAGTAAGGCGAAAGCTCCAGTTTGAAGAAATAACTTTCGTTGAATATTCTGCCGTTGATGATAAGCGGATACGATAGAAAAGGTAGCCTCACTGCGCAATAAAAGGATAAAGATTGTCAGTGAAAGAGGAGTGAAAGAGAAGCCATGTGAAACGGTCCAGAACCCAAAAAGTGGGACCCTTTTTTGCCCGCTGATTTCCGCACTGATGCGACTCACATCTTTGTGCCCTCTTCAACGCTAGCGTTCTCTCTGCTGTGTAAGACCACTCGCCGCAGGCTTTAATATGCGGTTGATAGTCCGCGTGCGGCCTGCGTTCCGGACCATTGTGAAAAAGTAAGCCCGCAGATCGCTGGGGCATATCCTTCGATGCGAATTGCGTGTTGGTCTGCATCCTCGAAGGGTCGCCCTTTCTCTCCACTGGTTCAGTTTCCCCTTCCTTCGATCTTATCATGAAATACTCCTTCAACCTTAGTGGTACAGCCTTGACACTGACTACAATACGGTAATATTGGACCGGCCTGTGGGAGCGAACCCTGCCAAGACCCCCACGTTTATCCCCAAGGTAACCATCCTTTTGAGCGATTCGCGGGGAGTTGGGGGGGGTACGGGAAGGCAAAGTATAGGTGGAAGATCTCACTTATCTCACTTTTGAGCAGGACTATAAGAAGAACAGCCGTAGTAAAAACCCTAAATGGAACTATGAGCCCATTGGCTCACATCTAGGTTCCACCCTGGACGCACAGAAACGATCCCGGAATCCCGGCATGTCGACCGAGAAAAAAACCCACCTTGATTTTCGTGTCAGGATCCATCAGGCGTCACAGCCGCGTTGATGGTAAGCACGACAAAGCCGATGGAGTAGCTTTTATATGCTTGACAGACAGACAATGAACTCGAATCGTTTTCACCGCAATGCGACTATGAATTCATCTACTTCTTATGCTCCCGCTTCAAGGTACGGATATGTGTGACGAAACCGGATCGCCCCACCGAGCGCTATCTCATTCTTGAACAACCTGCAGCCTTTAGCCCGGCCTAGATAAGAACCGACTGAAGGCCTGTCGTGTAGCAATAGGCACGGCATTGCACTTTTCAGTTGCGCGCCCAACACCAATACCGTTGCTTTTAGAAAAAAAATGAGAGCAAGCAACTCAGAGATGGACCGTAAAAGGACCGACGTCGACTGCGCGTTTATGCCACGCAACTCCAACTTCTCTGCGCTCGCGCCAACCCGACTAAGGTACCCGACAGGAGGCCCGTCGCGCGGCGAGAAGGCAGAGACGCAGACGGGTCAGCGGACGAGTCGCAGCGCGTACTGTAGCGATTTAGCGTCAAGTTGAATAGGATGTACATATGTAGTACGTTCCACATCACACAATACGTCGTGCAACTCGTTCACTGTCTGCGTCTCTGCCTTCTCGCCACGCGACGGGTCTCCTGTCGGGTACCTTAGGGAAAAACTGTTCAGGCCTGGGGAGAGGAGGAGGAGCGGCAGCTGGGGCCACCCATTTTCTTCCTATTGCGCCCTCTCAACCAAATAGCAACTACATTAATGCGAGACGATGAATTTGCGAATCATAGGGACGCAGCCAAGAGCCCAGGCAGGTGGGAGTGCAGACAAGGGTTATGCGTAAAAAATTGGAATGGATACACTAGTCCTGTGAGAGGGTGCAGACAGCAAAGAATGGAAACTGCCGACCACTGCCCAATGCAATTGCCTGGAAAAAAGTTGGATCTGCCTCGTTTCATGAATCGATGAAAACTTCTTTTTCAAATCCTTATCCTATCTCGCTCAATGAACACCTCTCATTTCAGCGGGAAGTTGCTAAAAAAAAACCACAAAATCTGTAAATTTTATTATTAATACTTTTACTCACAAACTCTGTGTAGTTCCCAGTACTTTCTAAACTCTCTAGACGTCAACGAAATAACGGCTAGAACTTACTAGTACCGATCAACAACGAGGAGAAACGTAACTGTGAGAATGATCTGAGTAAGTGAAACGATGACAACATCGCTGAGGACTTTAATTAGAGAACACAATCACGACGAGGATAAAAATGAGACGAGAGGAGTGAGAAAACTGATTTAAAATTCTTCGCTAAGAAGCGGCGGCGAAACACGAATCGGCTCCTGTCGACTCAGAA